AATGGAAATGGAGCCAGGACCATAAGGGCCTGTTTAAAATTAAAAAAAAAAAAGAACACCCTGTCATTATCGCTGTATGCAGACTGAAGTTGCACCAAATACGGCTATAATGACCGGGTGTTCTATTCGGGTGAAGACGGTAGCTTGATCCTCTCAGCTGTTTGACTGTCAGATTTGCTATAGGTACTGGGACTGCTAGCCTGGCTTCTTGCTAAACATCCTATTAAACCCTAGCCCTTAGCGATTGTGGTTTTCCTATTACTAAAATTGTATTGTGTGGTGAGTTCTGCTTCTGGGTAACTCTTATATCTGGGGCTGGGAAAGTCTAGTGTGTCTCCATTGGCCATATTGGAGCTTGCCATTGCCTATCGCCACTATTTTTCCATCTCGTAGTAGGTGTTTTTGAAACTGTTGTCTCCTTGCTGTTTTTGTCTTGCATTGGATTTTTTCGATTTCAGGAAAAGAGTTCCCTCAAGGCTGAGCAGGAGCGTCTTCAAGGACACCTGCGAGCAATACGTGAGTCCCTAACCAACAAGCATGCAAAGGGGATGGTCGGTGGCGACCGTCTAAGATTCCACTTGGCCGCAGTCGGTCTCAGTGGGGGCGTGTGCACCTGCGATCTGCATGACAGCTCACCTACTGATCAGAAGAAGAATGCCACCCACAGAGAGGAGGGAAAGTCCTTGATGGATGGCCAGGGAGTGGGTCAACCTGCGTCGCAGGAGAACGGAAGGAGGGGCGGTGTTTGCAGTCTGAAAGCCTCACTGGAGAAACTCAAAAGAACCACACCAACGAGAGGCTGTCCTGTCGTGAGGGCCCTTCAGAACTCATTGGAGAAGGGGATTGAGCCCACTCCTGGATTTGCCAATTCTGGGGAGAATACTGAGGATCCTGAAACCCATCTGCGAAAGTCAGGAGTGTGTGATGTCAGAGTCCCAGGTGACGCTACCATAAACAGTGACGTGGATGTTGCAGGGAAGAAGAGCGTGATGGGATGTGCAGAGTCCAAAGTAGTATGTGAAAGCCATGATGGGCAAGAAATAGAAGTACAGAGCAAGGCTGTGACAAAATGTGGTTCTATGCACGGAGTGGTCAGAGGCCTCCATCTGACAGATGCTGTTCATGATAGTCATCATACAGTGGAGGAAGATGCACGCAGAGATGGTCAGATATCGGCTATCCGTCCACAAGGACATAATACATGGCACAAGATTGTGGAGGGTGAAAGCAGAATGAGAAGAAGGGACATGCATCCTTTGCTGAGCCGATTGGATTATGCGATTAGACAAACAGTGCAAGTCCAAGCAATGGACCTCAGGATGGGCATAGGTTCGAAGGAGCAGAGTGATGGAGAAGTCCGAACGAGCAGCGATTGTGTAACAGCTGGTCATGCCAAGAATACTGAGAATGACGGTGAAGGGACATTTGGAGCACACGTGACTGCCTCGGACAATGACAGGCATACAGAGTTAACAGAACCAGGTCCACTCTCTGGAGCAGTGAGAATGGGAAAACCAGTTTCCGAACCAGGTCCAATGTTTGGTTCAGTGCTGGGAAAACCAGGTTCTGAACCAGGATATGGTCCTTTACAAGCTTCTTCACTCGGCGATCCAGCTCCGAGTAATAAGAGGGATTGCTTGTTGGCGTGCTCTGATGGATCCGGACCAGATAAGGAAGGAGTGGACCCTGAGCCAAGCTGCAAAGTCCGTGAATGCATCTCAAATCAAGAGATCGTGAAGACTACAGGTGCACAGGAGGCTCTAGTAGGTTCAAAGCTTCTGCTTGTACAGCGGGATCGGGTGCCTCAAGACCTGGGACCACTTGACCTTAGAGAGAACCACTCCATTCCCATGGCACCAGACACATGTAGCTCAACAGCCCCTAAGAAACTAGCAGAGCATGCTCTGAGTGCGGATTCGGCAGCTTTGGGGGAAGAAGCTGCAGATGGGGTGGCTGCGGAATTATCATCCCTACGCTCTGCATTGGAGTTGCTAGCGAATCGAGTGGGAGGTCTGGAACAATCGGAGAAAGGACCCCGAATTGATGACGTACAAATGGCGAGAGCAGAAAGCACTGAACAGGAATGCCTCATAGGACAGATGTCCAATATGGAAAGGGTAAGGCTCCAAGAATCATCTTTGGATATTTGGTCTGGCTGCTCCTTCAGTTTCACTTTGAAGCAGGATGTTATTGTGTCCATCTGATTCAAGCAGGACTCCAATTCATGGTCTGTTTATCAACAGTTACATGCTGTGGAGCGATCTGCCACATGGGCTGGGGGGCTTTAGCTTTTTCCTGAGACTACAGCAGCAGTGTGTGAGGATTAGGACTTTGACAGTTAGAAGAGAATTTGAAACCTGACAATCTGTGTCTCAGCATGAGAACCCAGATGCAGAATACACCATCAGGCAGGAATGTGTCACTCATGCAACCAAGATGAAGCAAATGAACTGTTGCACAATATAGTATAAAACTCGTTAATGCCCAGCCACACACAGGGTCCAAGACCCGCCACCATATCCAATCTTGTGGTCACTCCCCGACACGTTTTACATGCTCCGCATGTAGGTGTTATGATTCTGGTTGTTTGTTGTCTGAAGACCAACACTCACTCACATAGACTTCCCGGTATGCCCATACATACACAGAAGGAAGGGGAGAGGATAGGAGTATCACACCGCACGGGGAGAGATAAACACAGCGGAAGACTTGACCATGTGATATGACAGGGTACACTGAAAGTGCAATTCACTCCACTCAATCCTCACAACCAGTCATAAAGGAAAGCCGAGTAGATCACATCCAAGACACAATGAAACGATGATAGTCCAAACCCAGTATTACACTGTTCATTAAACTCAAGTCTCGAATTGTCAGGATCACCTCAGTACTAAAGTGCGCTGCTCAGAAATGAGCAGCCCTTCACTCCCCAACCCTGAGTAACCACCCGTGACATCCCTGAGCCGCTGAAACATCAAGCGCCACCCAAGTACTGCCTCCAGAGGGCAGCGCCACCCTGAAACAGGCCTCTGAGGCCAAGCGCCACTCAGAGGATGAAGAAGAAGGTCAGCGCCACAGTATCTGATGATGACGAAGTGTCTACAGACTTCCCGGATGGAAGTCTGCAGCAGCGCCACCCAAATCCTGACAAGATGACCTCTGAGGAAGAAGCGGCAGCTATGGCTGCAGCACCACAACCCTGGAACCCAGTCCGGATGAGGGTCCAGCAGGGCACCAACTTCTCTCGCCTCCAGCAGACCTCGATAACCCAGACCTCTGACAGCCCCTACGCGCTGGCAGAGTACAGCGCAGGTCCCAGCTATCGCCGGCGCTCGGAAGGTCTGGCTATGCCTGTCTCCTTCCACGCTGAGCCGTCACCACTTCCGGTTCACGCGTAGCACAGCAACGATGTACTCGGTACCAACTGCCAAAAGCCCTGAACCCATGTACCCATCCTATCTATAGTCTAAACTAGCCTAGACTCGACCTAGACCGGACTGACTGACCGACCGGTACCGATTCTGTTCCGGCCTCTAGGGCCTCTCCCAATCCGGCTATAGGCCATAGGACCGTCTATCAGCTTAGGCCTATAGGGCCTGGCTTTCCTAGGGGTAGCCCGGGTCTGCTATTCACAGTTAGTGTAACTATAGGAAATTCAGTTAGTACGGGCCTGTATTTTCCCGAATTTGCAGATATGTCCCTCACGAATTTTCCTTACAGGCAGGTCACTCGGTTAGCCCTCAGCCAAACAAAATTACGAATCTGTCCTACCTATGGTACAGCCTCGACAGAGAGAGGCTACAGGCGACCAGAAAACAGCAAGTCATTGCATAGGACTCTTCAGGAGGACATTGAAAACCCGAAATCCAAATGTTTTGGCCAACATTTCAACCATAATCAAATTTCATTGTTTCTGCACAGAAGCACCAAGTGTCTGTCTATTTAGTCCACAGTAAGAAATTATTGAAATAGTACCGAAGTGTAGTACCTTTAAGTTGTGCTAAATAGTCATTGCATGTTTGTAGAGAGTACCTGCAACACTATAAATGGGGCATCTGTGTTTCACACTGTCTGCCAAAGTTACTGTGTCGCTGTGGCTGGTGATGGACGTTCTTGGGTTGGCTTCCTGGCTCTTGATGGTGGCGTGAACCTAAGTCTGCTGGGTTTTCCGTATCATTTGAGTTGGTGATAGTCCACTTTGTCCTTTGCTGCCTCCATGGGTTCCTGTGTTGTGGGGTGTCTTGCTGGGTTCGTATCCCATCTGCTGCCTACCTATCCACCCACCTGCCCGCCTGCCCGCCTGCCCGCCTGCCCGCCTGCCTGCCTGCCTGCCTTGCATTTCAGTGCCTTGTTCCCTCGCTGCTTAATGTGCATGTCTTGTTTTTTTTTGCTTGATCGTGGTTTTTCTGCCCTGCTTGCTGCCTTGCTGCCTTGTTGCCCACCTGCCTTGCTATTGGCATGTCTGCACGTCCTTTCTTTCTTCTGTGGCTGTTTTCATCATTTCTGCACTCGTGTGTGCATACCTCTGTGAGTGTGTGTGCGTTTGTGTACGAGGGCACGTGGAGGTGGGCCAGTAGGCCTTATTTGTTGTTTTTGCACAGTCTTGGGTCGGTACAGTCTTTTCGTTGTAGCTGCGCGGTCTTTCTTTCTTTAGTGGTCATCTCTACCCTTTCCGCACTCGCATCATTTCTGCACTGGCTCTGCCCTTTCTTTTGTCACTCTTTTCGTCTCTCCTCTCCCTTGTGTCCTTTTGTCGGACTCTTTCCATCTCTATGTGACTCCCACAATCATGCAATAGCCATTGTGAGATAACTGCATTAATCAACGTCTATCACATCCTTTCTTTTGTCACTCTTTTCGTCTCTCCTCTCCGTTGTGTCCTTTTGTCCGACTCTTTCCATCCCTATGTGACTCCCATAATCATACAATAGGCATTATGAGATAACCGCATCAATCAACACCTATCATGGTTCCCTCCAGATAACATTTCACCAACATTTCATGGTGCGCAGCAAACATTCAGCTAGAGAACCGCTCAAACTTGGACAATCACCATCAATATGCTCCGATCTTCGGACTTGACCATAAGTTTTACTGCATCACAACCCTTCCCCCGTGGCTGATCCGCGTAAACCACTAGTACCTTTGTCGGTTCGGAATTCTTCGGGAGCTGGTGTTTTCCCTCATTTCTGAAGCGGCAAAGGTACTAGTGGTTTAAGAGGTAGAATAAGACTGCAGTAAATCACTCCTTGGAGCCCGTAGGCTGCCAGATGAAATCTTTTGACTCTTCTCTTTGCATTCGGATTCTCCCACTTACGGTGCTTGTTTTCACTTACCCTATGTCCACTGAAAGCTTTTTTTTTTTTTTTTTTCACAAAACTAATCTATATTCTTCTCTCAATATACCTCCCACTACCTGCCTACCTATATGTCGTTCTCTCAGCATTGAGCGTTAAGGGTTATGGGCTAGGTTCTGGCCTCTACTCTATGCAGGGAGCAGAACCCTGGCTCCTTACACCTGGTGCGAGCTGGAAAGCGAAATGCTTACTTCCACAACCAACCACGAGGCCCAAGCCAGTTATCTCCGCTGGTGAACCCGAAGGCGTATCACACGGGTTTGTGGAGATCGAACGGATGACGTGGGGGAATCGAACCCACGACCTCCTGAATACCACTCATACCACTCATGTGCTCAACCAACTGAGCTAGCCCGCTTTTTTTCTTGGATGTAAGGAGCTGCCAAACACTGACTGAGACACACAGCTGATTTCTGAGTTTTGCCAATGGAATGTATGCCTTGCTGAGCTTCCCGCTTGTTGCTGAGTTTTCTAAGTCGGTGTGTGTGCGTACTTGCTGATCTGCGTGCCTGTCGCGCTTGTCGACTCCCTCTCTTCCCCTTTGTTCCCCCTTCCCTTCCCATTCGAATCGTATGGCCTTTCCCACCTGGCACTTTCACGCTGGGCGGTGCTTCACCCTTCCGCGCCCTGTAAAAGGGCCAGTTCCCCGGCCGCACCGCGTTCCCTCCCTCTTTGGTCCTCAGGGTCCTTCTTCGCGTTAGCGCTGGAGTTACTGCCATAGCGTTAGTGCTTACCGTGGGCGCGAGCGCGGCAGTCCTCCACTCCTGTGTCCATTTTATGGAGCATCAGTCCGGTTCCTTTCTCCCCCCCACAAAAAAAAACAGAGCCCTGCGGCTCTGGCTCCTTATCCATTCTGGGGATTGTCAGTCCGGTTCTGATTCCCCGGGCAAGTCACGAGAATACAGAGTTCAGTGTTCACTCACCCAACGCTCCTCCCCGTCATGGCTGGGAGGCCCGACTGGACGACATTGATTTCTTCCCACGGGAAGGATGCACCACCCCTCAACCCTGCCCAAGTTAGCCTCGCCGACGTAGACCAGATATAGACTCTTCTTCTTGTCCCCGGGCGCCTAAGCCAGCCCCGCACTGTGCTGTTCCCCTGGGATACACCAGGGGGGTGTCTGCGCCTCCAAGGATGACTTCCAGGTCCACGGCCAGACAGTCGGGCTTCTGCGCTTGCCTGGCCACCGCGGGGGAGAGGGCCCTCTCAGTCCGATGCTATACTACCTTCTTACCCCGAAAAAAAAGTATGTACGTTCTATTCGAATTACCTTCGAAAATTGGACTTTTAGAAATCACTCTTTTTTATTCTCGAATAGAACGTACGGTCAAATACAACGTACGTTCGTTGTATTTCAATACAACATATGTAAGTTGTATTCGAAGTCTGTGGCATTTGAGACATGTTTCACTATTTAAAAAAACGTTCAAAAAATAGAAATAAAAATATATGTTGAACAGTTGAAGAACAATGCAACACAAAGTTTTTACAAACAGGTTTTGCCTGAGAGTATTGTTGAAATCTGCTTACCAAATTTGAGAGAGGGAGGGGCGGGGTGAACAGAGTAGAACGTTCGGGTCTTTCGACCCTTTTTTTTTTTTTAACACCAAAATCAGCATATATTTCCACTCAAAGAGATGAGGCCGGGGTCCACCATACATTTCAGGGCCACCCTCGCATAACCCAAAATTCAAGTACAACGTGTGTACATTGTATTCGAATACAACATAACCCGTACATTGTATTCGTATACAACATACATACGTTTTTTGGGGGGTAAGAAGGTAGCCTCTACCGTTGCTTCCCCACTCGGCTTGGGTGGGGCCTCATCTAGTTGGCTTGTGGTTGCATCTCGCTGCATCCCCTGCCTCGATAAACATTTCACCTGGTTGCCTTCTATCTTTCCCAATTTCCCGCTCCCTGGAGAGTTCCGGGTGAATGTATCCATGATCTCGTTTTGCTTGTCCGAGTTGTGTTTGATCTGTCTCAGGGCCTTCTGCCAGTCTGCCTGGTATTCTGTGTCTAACAGTGTCTTAGGTCCTCCCACGCTCTCTCAGGCGCCACCTCCCGCGTCTCTATGGTCTCCTTGCATCTTCTTTTCCAGATTCTCCAGAGTGTGAAAGGCCGGGGCCTTCTGTGCCCACTTCTCCTGTCCGTTTGGGTGTTCAAGGCCAGTGAGGAGGGTGAGGGTGTCCTCTGTAAAATCAGTGCCAGTGGCCTGTTGCCAGAGGTCCCTCGCGTAACGCCACAACTGCTGTGCCTTGGGGCGAAGAACCAACCAACCAACCAACCAACCAACCAACCAACCAACCAACCAACCAACCAGCCAACCAACCGACCAACCGACCAACCAACCGACCCACCGACCAACCGACCCACCAACCCACCAACCCACCAACCAACCGACCCACCAACCGACCGACCAACCGATCAACCGACCAACCGACCCACTGACCAAACCGAACTACTGAACGACCAACTGACCGACCCACCGACCGACTGACCCACCCACCCACCCACCAACCGACCCGCCCAACCGACCCACCCACCCACCCACCCGCCCACCCACCGACCGACCGACCGACTGACCAACCAACCAACCGACCAACCACCCACCCACCCATAACAAACAAACCACTAATGGTTACATAGGTGGTGTCATTTTGGCGAATTTTTCACCGAAACTGCCATATTTCCCTGAATTCTTGCTTTTTTACTTGTTCTTTTTTATGTGTGATATGTACGTGCTTTAGGGTATATCTGTATTCAGTTTCGAAAACTTTCGACGTATTTGGACCAGTAACGAAAAAGTTGGCAAAAACACTGAATTCAGAGAAAAATTTGGCGAACTCCAAAAGCTACTTCGAATAGGGTTTTATACTAGTTTATAGTTAGGAAGATTTTCATGCCTGCCCGGGCACCCGGGCATGTAAAACAAAAAAACTTTAAAAAAGAAATTAAAAAAATGTTTTTTTTTTTTTTGCATTTCTGCACTCTCCCAGAGGACCCCAAATCCGGGTTCTTTTCATTTTTTGAGAGTTGGCTTTCAAGGGGGCGGAGGGGGGTATAAATTTGCTTTAAAGGGGCGAAGGGGGTATAAAGGGGGGTGCCTTAGTGTGATTTTGTTACTTTCTTTTTTATCTCCGATTCGATGAGGAATTCTGATGTGACCCTCAGCCAAAAGTTGTTTGTATTGCAATTCTACACGACATATTTTCTTTTCTGGAATTTTTTACTTTTTTTTTTTTTTTTTTTTTTTTTTTCTGAGGCTGTCCGGAACCCTGCCCGGGGGTCATGCCCGGCCGGGCACCCGGGCGCCCGGAAAAACAACCTAGATAATTTTATAGTGCATTTGATTTTATATTTTTTTCATTTTCTTTTGCCTTTTTTTTTTTTTTTTGTATCATGAGCCTGCATTGTTTGTTCGTGAAATTTTCGATGACATTGTTTGTGATGATGCGGCGGGCCTTCCCTTAACCATCTCTCAAACAAACCAACCAACCTTATGGCTCTGGCTCCATATCCATTCTGGGGAGCGTCAGTCGGGTTCCTATTCCACCGGCAAGTCAGAAATGCAATGTACGCTTACTCCTGTGATTCTCCCCTTTATGGTAAAGAGACCTGAGTGGGTGGCATTGATTACTTCCGGTCTGGAAGGATGTACCTCCCCTCACCCCTGCCCAAGTTAGCCTATAACTACTAAAGTTAAATAGATCATTTCCCAACATCGGCCATTCCTCCATCCTTACCGCGGACTTTTTAGGCTTCATAGACACTAAAGTCTAATGCAGTTTCGCTTTGATGATGTCCTTTTCCAGGTGTGTCACAGCTTCTGATTTCAGACTTACTTCCAGCTGTTTGAGGAAGCTTTCCTCGTACTTGTGCTACATTTGCCTGATCTAACTCACTTGATTTGGCCGTGCATAGTGCCTGATCTAATTTGGACATATGTTATCACACATTTGGACCTCATTTTGGCTGGCCACTGACGTCTCTGTCTGAACTTGATGTCTCGTCATTAGCTTCCACTGTGTTTATTAAACTTTATTTCACATTTCGTTTTTTTTCGCTGACGAGATTATCCATTCATCATGTATGCAAAATCTTCTTTGGTTTGAATTGCGAAATGTACATGCCATGCAGGAGCTGACCTCAGGATCTTACAGCAATAGAGGCCCACTTACATCTGGCGAGGATGTTCTAGCTACCATCCTAAGCAAAGAAGAGTTAAGTGATAGACATCTCGCAAGCAAGCCAGAAACTGGATTCAGCAATACTGGCTTCGAATTTAGGCACCAGATTGGATCACTGTGTCCGATGCACCATGAACCTTCTATTGGTGAGTACCAGGATGGACAGCAGGAGTGGAAGTATGAGAATAACCAGCTGAACAAATGTGTGGAGATGGTTAGCTTCACTAGAGAGGGCATTCAAGTGATTCACGAGGGAGAGGGTGCTGTGAACCATGTCAGCACAGATGGCACTCAAGTGATTCATGAGGGAGAGGATGTGCTAAATACTCCGCTGAAACCAGTGTGGGCGGATGAAGATGCAAAGCTGGTGATCAGAGGCCAATGCACGGTTGCAGCATTGGCCTTGAGGCAGGAGGTATATGTTTTGAAGAAAGCATTGCAAGAAGAAAGAGAGGAGCATGCACGACTGGTTATCGCACTGAGAACTACAATTCGGAAGCTGCGGGAGGGAAAGTGGAGGAAGACGCTGGAGGAATCCGATCATCATGCTCTTTACTCATCAAAGGAAGGGGAATTTGCCTCAGGGGTAGCAGGGGCAATTGGAGACCTCTTGGCAGCAGGGAAAATGGTGGGAGCATTTGAAAATGACTGCGATGAGGAAGGTATGGGTGTAATTCAAGGACAAAGGAGCAGGGAGGGACTGGATCTCTGGGCTTCGATTGTATATAAGAATTGTGAAACATTGTGCAAGGAGATGACAGCTGCAGAGTTCAGACTTGAGGAAATGGCGAGAGAGATAAGAACCAGAGTTGACATATCAACCAATCTCCTGAACGAGGAGTTTTGTACAATAGCAGAGAATGGCATGCTGATGGAAAGGAAGATAGACAGTCTTTTGGATGCCGCAGCAGCAATTAAGATGGAGACGAGAGGTTTTGAAAAGAGACAGTCTGAGAAGGAAGTTTTGAAGAACCAACCACGGGGAAATTGGGAGAGGGTTATCCTTTGGCAACGCGTGAAGAGTGTTATCAGAGACTTGAAGCGTATGCACAAAGACGAGTCAGCAGGTCTGTGGATGAATCAGAAAGAAATGGAGCACATTATGGAAGAAGAAAGGGAGAAGCATCATGAGGCCTTGCAGGCTCTTGAGCGGAGGGTCAGTGAGAAAGAAGCTCGTGTGAATGCACAGCGGGAGCAAGTACGAGAGCTGGTGGAGAAGTGGGAAAGGGAGAGAATGGATGCAGAGAGAGAAATGGAAAAACGGTTAGGGGAACTGAGGCTGGCTACAGAGAAGCGGATGGCAATCATGGAAGGCCATGCAAATGACCTACGAGTGAGGGGAGAAGAGGGAGTCAGGATGATGATGGAAGAGATGGATAGGTACAAGCGAGCTAGGGACACAGAGGCAGCTGCTCTGAAGGAGAGAATAGTGAGGCTGCAGGATAAGATCGGATTGCCCACATGTGGTAGCCAGCCTTACCATAAGGAACCTCTTAACACAAAAAGAACCGGAGGGCCACGGAAGACAGCAGCGGGGCTTTGGAGAAGAGGAGGATCACCCCATATGGTGCGATTGCATGGTAAGGTACGCCACCTCAAAGGAGGTCTGATGGGCTCCGGTCCAGTTCACAGCAGGGGGTCTACACTTGGGCATAATCAGGGTAAGACACTACCAAGGAAAGAAGACAAAAAACAGGAAACATTCGACCAACACACTGCATCCTTGCCAACGAGGTGCTTGAAGAAAGTTCAGAAATGTAAGCTTTCAAAAGGCCGTACATATCGAGATCCCACAACGGTGAGAGGTGGAAAGAAGGTTACATTTTGTCAACAACTTGAAACGGAGGCAATGGGAAACAGGAGGTCAAGTCAAGACCAATTTACATTGATGGACAGTTTGAATCCTGTGAGAGAATCAGATGCACATGGGGTGCCGGTGGAACCAGGAGCACCCTCTGGGCGGAGGAGACAACATCATGATCATCGTGCTAAAGGAAGAACTGAGTACCATGGCAGGGTCAGTGCAAACAACTGTGGCGAAGTGTGGATGCAGGAGCTAGAGGAGTGGATTGAACGCATAAGAGGAGATACCATGACAGTGGCAGCAGAGGCAGGAGAGACGGAATTATCTGTCTTGGCAGGGGAGCTAGCTTATGAGAGAAGTGAAAGGGAGGCTGCTGAGCGGCAACTGAAAAGATCCATGGCAGCAACTGAACGACTGACAAGGCGGCTGCTGACAGTCAAGGGACAGCTGCTTGTATGTACTCTGCAATGACATTACCCATGACCTTTGCAAGTAATGACAACCTCTCTCTCTCTCTCTCTCTCTCTCTCTCTCTCTCTCTCTCTCTCTCTCTCTCTCTCTCTCTCTCTCTCT